GGGGGGGTAGACAACATGATTACCTGCACACTGACTGAAATGTGGGGGGCTGGATGCTGCCGCTGTCTCAAAATGAGCAATTAATTTTGAAGGCTAGCTTACTGTAAACCTTAATTCTATTCTATTGTACGGATCCAGTCTATGCACCATGTATGCAGGCAAATGATGGTGTTTAATATTAATGAACTTTTTAATCACTGAATCAAGATTTTAAATATGTATTTCATCGTTCGGTTGGTGGTCAACAGGAATGTCATGCAAGTTACGTGCGCTTTGGCAAACTGTTGTCAAGGTCTAACTGATTATTAATGAATGAAGTAGATTTTTTTCAGTCGGGAACAGCAGAACACGAACAAGCTTGGTTATAGGAGTAGTGAGCCAACAATGCAGCAGTCAGTGTGAAAGTAAAACATCATGCAGCAGTATGTTTTACGACCTCAGACAGAACACCGGGACAATAAGAAAAGAAAACAGAGAAAAATAATTAATTGTTAAAACCTGTGGGCCAGCGGTGTGTTTTCGTTCTAAGACTGAGCACATAAATACGGTTATTGTGTTGCTCCAGCTGGGAGCGTGAAAGACACCAGTGATCTCTCGTGCGCTGTCTGTCTGTCTGTCTGTCTGTCTGTCTGCCTGTCCGTGAGATGTGGTACAAGTGACACACAAGATAGTGAAGAATCTAGCCAGCATTGTTTGTCCCTTCACTCTGGACGAGGCAGTACTGTTATTGCCGTTGATGTCACTGTCAGTAGAATCTAGATCTACATCTTGCACAGCAAACAGACCAGAACGATCGTAACACTTTGAACAAGTTAAAGAGCTTGGTCACGCGCGAATGCTCACCAATACAATCGTGAGAGAGACGAGAAAAATTCTTTAAAGGAATTATATTTATACACTCACTGACTTGCTTACTAAACGAGAAAAATTCGTTTTAGCCATTCTAAATTTGACTAAGCGACGAGGAGAGAAGGTGGTGTTGGCGCTCATATGACCTTATGCTGTTGCGAGCGCCGTAAAAATTCAACTTAAACAAAACAAACAAAGAGGTGGTGAGACCCATCCATTAACTTACTTTCCAGACGAGAAGAAGAGGACCGTTACATGAGACGTCAAGATGACGGGAAAAGAGATTCGAGTTTGGATGGACGGGAGGTGAGTGTTTAGTTTAAGTTTTTAGTAAGAGTTTTACAGCACTTGCAACACGGGAGGACTTCCGTAACTAGCGACCCCTATGAGACAGAGTAGAATTTAGGGGTAGAGGTAGACTAGATCTAGATCTAGTAGAGTTAGGTCTCTTCTTTATTGTTTTTGTTGGGGTGGTCGTTGCGGAAGTCCTTCCTGTAACACAGTTTGGTTATATACGTAGCGAAGATTAGATTATGGGTGTAACAAGAGAGTAACAAATACCCCCACCAAAAAGGAGGAGGGATAAGGACGATAGATGTTTGATTGTAGGAATGAAGGAGCTAACCACATCAGCGCACCTGCCAACCACCATCGGTGTGTGTTTGCTAAACGCATGTCTGTTGCTGTGATATAATAATGTCACACGTCTGTTAGTGGGTGGTTGGCGGGTGCTTTGATGTAGTTTGCTCCTTTCCTATCAAACACCTATGTTATATATTATAAGGGAGGAGTTCCGCAGAGGGGAGACGCAGTTTTCTACGGTAGGCCAGCTCTGCAGCTCTTTCAATGGGGATATTACAATTTTTCAGGGTTTTCTTGACTCCCTCACCCCCCCCCCACCAGGGCAGTGCTGTTTAGGCTAGAGAGGTGAGCAGAGTAAGCATGATTCCCCGTTTGAACTTCTCTGCTGACATCCACCCCTTGGCGCTCATATGACCTTATGCAGTTGCGAGCGCCCTAAAAACTCTGCTGACAAAAAAAGAAAAAAAAGTGTCAATGTTTGACTTTGACCAAAGCACATGATGGTGTACCTGATTAGTTAGTTAATAAGCCAGATGATTATGCGCCCGATTGATGAATAATCCATTCAGATGATAAGTTTTGCAATGACTCCGCCAATCCATCTTTTGCGTGTTATACCGCTTCTTTTATAGCCCGAGTACTTGGTGTTATCGGCTCTCGAGGCTTGCTGGCTAGCTAGGTGACATTCGTAACAGGTGGCCAAACTAGCTTATTCTGTTTTTCTGTAAAATGCAGCCAGGACTCCATGCCAAAGTCGCTTTTACTTCTTCATTTCTCTGCCTGTCTCGTCTTGTGATGTTAAGGTTTTTGCGTAGACATTTCATCTCGCACGCTGTGATTTTTTTTCATGAGTTTTACTTACCTTAATGTCCGTGTCTGGCACTGGTAGCATAATGTTGGTATAAATATTACAATAATACGCTGTCTCTTTGCGTCCATGGTGATGTTTGGATGAGGCAGAAGGGGTGCAAGCTGGCAGGGGACGATGTTGGCGTTTTGAGTTAGCATTTTCTATCTTGTAACATCTCTAATCTTTGGCACTTACGTGACTCAATTGTGTTGCAGATGCCGTAAGACGCAAACTAAAAGCCACAAAAGTTTAATACAGCATAATATGTCTGTGGTTGTGACAAAAAATGTCTGTTTTATAGAATGTACATGTATAATAATGTCTACCACTGTGCTGATAAGGACATAAGATCGTTACTGCATGGTTCTTCTTCTTCCTTGTTCTCGAATTACTACATGGTATAAACAATCATTTGTCTGTTAGTCTGCTTTTGTGTTTGTTAGTCTGCACCTCATAATTCTTTTTTACTCTCTCTCTCTCTCTTAATTTTGCCTCGTCCCCCTCCTCCTGCAACCACTCTCCCAAAGAATACCCCAACAAGAAACAAACAAACAAACACAACAACAACAACAACAACAACAACAACAACAACAACAACAACAACAACAACAACAACAACAACAACAACAAAACGACCCCCCCCCCAAAAAAAAGCGTCACCCCTCCCCCATCACCAAATTAAACGCTCCACATAAAAGGTTTTCCCTTTTTATTGTGAAGGAAACACATTTCAATCTAAGGTTGAATTATAATCTCTTGTGTTTCAGCTTTGACATGCTGCATTGTGGACATGCAGTCGCGATACAGCAGGTGATTACGTCATTTCTTTTACTTTTGGCCACAGATCAGTGGGTGGTTGGCGGATGCTCTGGTGTGGTTTGCTCCTTCTTCCCTATCAAACATCTATCGTCCTTATCTCTCCTCCGCCTCCTTCTTTTTATGTATGTTACTCTCGTCTAACGCCTCAAATTTTCGGGACACATAATGACCTTATTGTGTTGCAAGTGCCGTAAAACTCTTACTAAAACTAAAATCATAGGTCTGAAACTCAAGGCCCGCTGGATCTATCGTCCTGATCTCTTGTCGTCCTTCTTTTTTGTGTTTGTTACTCTCTTGTAACATCTCTAATCTGCTGCACTTGTATGACCTAATTGTGTTGCAAGTGTCGTAAAACACTTACTGCAGCTAAACAAAATAGAAATATTATGAGACTCTGAATATCTCTTGCATTTATTTTTCCTTGCAGGCGAAGGAATATGGAGACATTCTGGTCGTGGGGATACAACCAAACAGTAAGTCTCGCTCGCTTCTTCTCACCTCGTCATCAAAAGTTCAAGGTCACACAGGGGCGTCCTGAAAGTCTCCGATGAGCGTTACAGAACGATGTGTGGGGACCACAAACAAACAGAAATGTTGGCTGCATGATGAACGAAGATATGTGTAGATGGTTGAAAGGGTGGATGGATGGATGGATGGATGGATGGATGGATGGATGGATGGATGGATGGATGGATGGGTGGATGGATGGATGGATGGATGGATGGATGGATATAATATGAACAGACAGACAGACAGACAGACAGACAGACAGACAGACAGACAGACAGACAGACAGACAGACAGACAACAGATGACATCTAAGAAATATATCGGTTGGAAGGGGAGAGTGAGACAAGCCGATTTTCTATTGACAAAATGTTCACACTAAGCAAAAGGATTATTAAATATGCATTCTAAACATATAATTTCAAAGCAGCCTGCCGTCTAAATAATCTAAATTCGTGTTCTTTTGTAAGCAAGAGATTTGCAAAATAAATCTCCTCCGCGGGTAGCTATCGGGTGCTCTGCTGTGGTTTGCTCCTTTTTTCATATCTAACAGTTATCGTCCTGATCGTTTCTCTTTCTTTTTTTGTGGTGTTTGTTACTCTCTTGTAACACATCTGATTTTCGGCACTTATAGTGTTTCAAGTGCCGTAAAATGCTACTAAAATTAAAAACAAAGCTAAACTAGACAAAGAGGTATAGTGTGCACTGTAATCATAGAATTTCGAAGCAGTCTGCCTCTTAAATAGTAGCTTTTAAGCACAAGGGGGCTATCTCGAAACATGCTGTTGTGAGAAAATCGAAGGTAAAGTTTTTGCCCCTTGTTCAGTTTATCTAAAAAAACAAGGAGAGTTTTCTCTATAACCAAACAAATATACACACCAATGATACCAAACTTCCCCTATAGGTAGGGCAATGCCCACTTTTGGTATAGGTCACGACTTCTGGAAACCCCCGAAATCTGTGTTAGCCCGCTTGTCCTTAAAAGCGACCAAATGATCTAAATCGTGTTCTTTTGTGAGCGAGACTATGCACAATAATTCTCCGCACATCCCGCTAGTGGTTGGAGAGCGACACTGGTAGGTCCCACTTCATTACTTTCCTTCTGCTGTTTCTGCCTGTCTGTTTTACTTTTTCCCAGCACTTATTGACCATTATTGTGTCGACGATGTGCTTCTCTTTACTCAAATGAACAACCCCCCCCCCCCCCCGGAGCGGTGCTTCTGACTGAAGTGGCATTAGGCCATTCCCGAAAGGGGGGGGGGGGGGGATTAACATCTCGAGTTCTTATGCACAGTAGAATTGTAATTGTAAATGGTCTGATTTATCAGTGTCATGCTCATAACTGTGCCTGAAGTGCAACAGAGAGCTGCTGCTTTTTCTTTCCTCATCCTTACTATCATCATTTTACCTTTACTTCTTCTGTATGTTTCTCACACTCTTGTGACCCTCTATTTCCAGGGTGCCTTGATAGTCGAAGCAGACTTTGTGCTTTTAAAGCAGTAGAGGTGAGCAGAGTATGTCTGATTCCCTGTAAAGACTTCTCTGTTGACAACCCCCCCCCCCCACACTTTTGGCGCTCATATAACCTTATGCAGTTGCGAGCGCCGTGAAACCTCTACTAAAACAAACAAACAAACAAAACCCTCCCATCCTGACCTGATCTTCTCTCCACAGCGGACATAGTTGTCCACAAAGGTCCGCCGGTCTTCACCGAGTCCGAACGTCACAGACTCCTGTCAGGCATTAAATGGGTCAACCAGGTCAGTTCTTACTTCAGACAGAACCTCACAAACATCCTTCACCCAAAATCATCCGTCATTCACAACCATCCTTCACGCAAAATCATCCATCAGTCACGACCATCCTTCACGCAAAATCATCCATCAGTCCCAATCTTCAGTCACAATCATCCTTCAATCGCAATCTTCAGTTTAAATCATCCTTCAATCATAATCATCCTTCAGTCACATTCTTCAGTCACAATCATCTTCCAGTCCAAATATTCATTCACAATCTTCAGTCACAATCATCCTTAAGTCCAAATATTTAGTCACAATCTTCATTCAGGATTTTCAGTCACATTCTTTAGTCACAAGCATCCCTTAGTCTTAATCTTCAGTCAAAATCACCCTTCAGTCACAATCTTCTGTCACAGTCATCCTATAATCACACACACACACACACACACACACACACACACACACACACACACACACACACACACACACACACACACACACACACACACATACACACACAACCACACACAAACACACACACACACACACGCACACACACACGTAGCTTCACACCAAACGTAACAATGCTCACACGCACAAACTTCGTTACTTTAGAATTAATTACCAAGTTCGATCCTACATTTTCGGACGTTTCGAGTTACTTTAACCACGAGATCCGAATGTTTTATCTGCTCTATCAAAACCGAAAGATTATTCAGAGTTGTTATCAAGATACATGTATTCAAATAATTGCGTTCGAAAAAGCTTTGACATGTTGTGAAACTCAAAAAATAATTTACATCAAATTTCTCAAAACTAGGTACATGAGCAGATAATATACCTTCGTAATTTTAAGGTAGGAACTAGAGTCACTGCAGAGAGTTTACACGGCAGAGAGTTTACAGTAATATAGAAGAGGTTATGTTTAGTACAGGCTTACGTATACACCCGAACAAGACGAAAGTAGTGAAGCTAGGAAAAGTGTCAAGCCCTGCTGTGACAGTGGAAGACAATCCCCTAGAAGAAGTAGACTCCTTTAGCTACCTTGGAAGTGTAATCGATGGTAAAGGCGGAACTGAGGCAGATGTAAAAGCAAGAGCCGCCAAGGCAAGGTCAGCATTCAAGCAATTATCAAAAGTCTCGAAAGCAAGCAACATCTCACTGCGCACCAAGATTCGACTCTTTAATTCCAATATCAAGTCTGTGCTCCTCTACGGTTGCGAAACTTGGAAGACAACAAAGACAGTGTTTAATAAAGTCCAGACTTTCATCAACAGATGTATTTAGAGTATCCTAAGAATTAGGTGGCAGGGTAGAATAAGAAATGAAGAGCTATAGGAAAGGACTGGACAAAAGGATATAGAAGTAGAAATAGGACTAAGAAAGTGGCGTTGGATGGGACGCACCTTGAGAAAGCCCAGCGGAAACATCAGAAGACAGTCATTGCAATGGAATCCACAGGGAGCACGAGGCAGGGGTAGGCCACGAAAAACACAGGGAAGATGTGTGGAAAGGGACATGAGAGAGAGACGAAGCTCACTTGGAACGAGCTTGGAAGGATGGCCCAAGACAGAGATAAATGGAAGGAGCTT